GCTGCAGCCCCCTCCTGTGATTCTGCTGAGGCTGCTTCCCTCTGATATCCTTTTACTGCCACGCCAGCAAAACACCCACTGCCAGGGAACCAGAGCTTGATGTGAGTGTGTGTGTGTGTGTGTGTGTGTGTGTGTGTGGAAGCATTTCTCTGTGCTTGTTGAGGTTACCATGCACGTGTGCGTATTGCTTGTGCAGGTGTGAGCACTGCAGGTGTTTGGGAATGAGCCACTCCAGTTCCTCGGTTCAGAAGTGTCTACGACGTCTTCTCCTGAGAGACACGGGGGGACAGTTTGTCACAATATGATGCTTTCTGTGTTCCTCCATTTCCTACAGCTGTGCAGCTTCACGGCAGCTCTGCTCTGATCCACCCTGCATGCAGTTCTCACCTTGCTCCAACAGAGGGGGCTGCTACGCTGCATGACTCAGTTTGGTATGTAAAGTGTGTGACAGGCAAATAGAAGGCTCCTGCAGCTGACAGGGGGCCAGCAGAGAATAATAGATCATATTTCATCAATGAAGCTTCTCTTTTTGTCTTCTCTACCCAGGGCGACATGCAGTTATCCCACTGAATTTTATTTAGCTTGATTGACTGGTAGCAGATGTAAAGTGGCTGACTGACAGGAGGATGTTTCTAACATATCTCAGTCAAATTAAATATATCTATACCCAGGATGGACACTGCAGGTTTTCCCGGCTTCCACACGCCCAAGATGAGAGAGAGAAATGCGTTATCAGGGGTGAAGAGGGGTGTGAAGCCCCCCCCCCCAGGCATTATTTTCTTTTTCCTTGAGGTTACAGCGGCCCTGTCACATCTCCACTGTACCTTTACTTTTACTTCACAGGCTATATGTCTGTTGCATCAGTGTTTCCTTATAGTTGTGGTAAGGCTGGATGGTTTTTCTTGAGAAAACCCCCATGAGTTCTCAGAGATCTAACCGCATGACTCAGGCACAGGAACCGGCACCAAAAATACACACCCTGTGCACTGCAAGCTTGCCTGAGCACCCTGCATGCACAGTTGATGCTGCCACCTCCCCTCCCCACACGCCCCCATCCCCCCACCTTGGTTTGAAGCAGTGGCAGATGGGAATCTCTTTGCTTGGTACCATTTCCCACAAATAAGCATATTTATTTGGATTTGAGTTCAGATCCACATCAGATTGCCACTGTCTGACTTTCAGGAGGATGGTGTGCATCCATTTATGTTGCCAACAACCGGCTTTTGGTTTGACGTGGTAGAAATTCGGGTCTTTATTTAATTTGTTCTAGCTGTAGTGTTGCATGTGTAGTGGATGAGGACAGTTATAGCAACACAGAATGTAAGGACAACACACACTGTGAATGAGCATGCATCTCGCTGTTTGTTCACACTGAAACATTCAAATACAAGTTTTATTTTATTAAGCAGAAACAAGCAAAGTTACATCATAAGGCAGTGCATGTTTTACATGTGTTGTAGTGTCATTTCAAGGCAACAACAGCAGCAGATTGTTCATAGGCCTAATGCAGGATTAATGAAACTGTTTAATTCTATACAGGCCAAAAAACAGAGCAATGCCAGGAAATTAGGATGAAAACGATAAAAATTTGAATTTTAAGCACCATTACGCACAGACTACAGATTTGTTTCAGTTGGCAGCATCAAACTGTGACTTGAAGGGAACAGAGGAAGAATAATAGACGATATGAAGCTGACAAATACGTTTTTATAGTTGATAGTAAATTATTGTGTATAACTCTTTGAGACCCAAAGAGGTGAAATTATTCAATACATTTTTGGTCTTTCCTCTCCCACTGATCATTTCATGAGCCTTTAGTTTTATCTTGCGACCCTTTGGAGGGGCCCAACCCCTGGGTTGGGAACCACTTTGAGCAACTATAACATTTGAATTCTGCTTTTCCTTTTGCATCGTTAATGTCATATATAATAAAAAGCCAACCAGGGACCATTTTTCTGCACAAGCGGCACCTTTACTTTGATACTTCCAGTACATTTTGCTAATATGTTTGTATTGTTACTTAAGACAAGACTTCGAAGTGAGTATTTCCAGTCCCTTGTTGTATCGGTGCCTTCACGCAGCTACACAGTGGCACGTTTAGTGCACTGTCTCTGCACTCATGTTAGTTTCAGTCCCACAGAAAACAAGACTCTGTAGTTCTGTCTTGCTGCAGTGCAGTAACTTCAGCACGGTGCTGGTGTTTTCATGAGGTGTGATGAATGGACGTGGCCTGTGGACGCGCGGGTGCACAGCGCGTAAGGCCAGATACAATATCTGGACTGTTGTTAGTTAAGAGTTAGTCTTAGTCGAGTTAAAGTTAGTCTTTATTTCTTTGTTAGTTCCTGCTTCTCATTTGTCATATAGTAGCAAATATGTGAAACAGAGGACATGGCCGTCGCCCCCCACCCCCAAAGCCCTGAGTGAGATGTGCTAACTAAAGGGAAGTTGTTGGCGGGGGCGGGGGAAGACATCTTCCTCTATTTATTTATTTATGTTTCTTTTCCAGAGAGGAGTGGAACCCCCAGCTGAATTAATCAATGCCGTCTCTGTGCTCTGTCCCCTGTGGGTAAATGCAGCCACACGCCCAGAGAAAATCAGATAGTCTGGCCGCCAAATCAAATCATTCACCCGATCCTTCAGCTGCTAGGACGGCATTAACCCAAAGCCCAGCAATGATATTTGAGCAGCCACAGGCTCATGGGAGGTTCAGGTAAAGAGGCAAAGAGGGGAGAGGAAGACAAGCAGGCCAAACAGTGTGGAGGATAACAAACGCTCTTATTCTCTAATCGCTGGTCTGCAGAACAAAACACAATATA